CTATGGCACTGCTTTGACTTTAAAGGTCACTACAGATGAAATCAATGCCATTTTCTAATTAATCAACGGAGAAACAGCAAAAAGATTTTACCTAAGAAAACCAAAATAATCCCAGGAATTTGCTGTTCATTCTTCAAATAGCAGAGCCCTAATCACAAACCCTCCCTCAGTCACCGACTTGCAAAAAGAAGGAGGAATTTCCAAGCACGTTTTCTGGGGATGTACTCCTGCGCAGCTGGGTGCAGCGGGTGTTTCTAAGATGTAGCAGCTTTCCATTAGCCACATTTTTCCACGGAGCACTCACCTCATCCAGTACCTAATAACCGAGCTGTACTACTGGAAAAACGGTGTGTTAACAGCTACAGCTCTAAAGAGAAATCTTGTGCCCCCTTGTCTTTCCCTCTCCCTCCTGACAGGGCAGGACACACCCACACACCTCTTTTTCTTTGTACAGCCTAGAGGAAATATATATATATATATATATATATATATTGAAGTCATCAAAGTATGAATTTATGAAGTAACTGCTTGACTCACGTAAACTGCCAAGCCCCTATAGCTACCAAAAAAAGCCTCACCAGCTTTTCACAGTGCAGTGCTACCATCCTGCAGTGCCAGCTTGCAAGCAGCACTGCACACCCTGAGCAGCAAAGTGAAACTGAAAAGAAACAATTCGGTTTGGCATTTACCCTTCGGCTCCCTGAGGCAGCAACAGTACTTAAAGAATAAAACTGTAATTTTTTGCTACCAGTTTTCAAGAAGCAGGTTCCAGAAATAGCTCAATAAAGAAGGCCGGGGTGACACACAAACACAAATACGAAAGCTCCACCTGTAAAGCTGCAGAGGAAGAGGCCTCTTCACTACTCTGGCGTGTATACATACCCAGAGGCTCTGTGATGGACAGGCTTCAGGTTTCAAAGCTCCCGAGATCAATGAACTGTTGATTTTGATATTAAAATCGTCCCTTTCAGCACTGTGCCTTGGCCACCATCCTGCCACCTTCACACTTTACAACTTTATTCCCTAGCTCTCATCTCTTTTAATGCCACTTGAGTCAGTTTTGCACAGGAAAGCATCACATAAACCCAAGCCGGCTACCATGCAGCAAAAACTCTTAAGGACAGGTATGACAACACAATGCTCCAGTGCCACATAAGACTAACAGAAGTTTAACATGGGACTTGCATCTCAACCCTTTATCTCAACACGTGAAGCAAAGAGAACTTTGAAGACAACGCAGCTCAAGCAACACGCTCTGCAAGACATCCCCAGCAACAAGGGACAGAGGGGGGTTTAAACGAGGGTGTCTGTCCTGACATGGCAGACGGAGAGCCCAAGAGCTGGAACACCCTCAAGATTTTTTTCTTCTTTTACATCCTGACAGCTCTTTAAGTATCTAAAGATGAAAGTACAAGAAAGCTTTGATACCGGGAAAACAGAGACCGACTGAAACTCCAGGGAAAAACAAAATATTCCCCCAGTCTTACTCTGCATATTCTGTACTTCATGTTGCATATTTAATATACTTCTGACCTGTGAGTTTGGCTGTATTAACTTTAAAGTACGAGGCAGAAGCCCTCCTGATGAGTAACTGCCCTACGACAACTATAATGAAGTTTTAAAACCCCTGCCAGGTGTGGAAAGCAGAGTTTGCACCCACACACCCCTTGCCAAAGCGGCTGGGAAGTTTTTTGGGGGTCTTTTCTGTTGGATATATTTTATTTATATCCACTTCTTTCAGTGCACAGCGTGGACACCTCATCGCTCACTACTCCATATTCCACTACAGGTAGTTGGTCAGAATACCTGGTGGGAAGCACTAGAAAAGGTCCTCCCTCTCCTCCTCCGGGGCTGAATCCCACCTAAAACCACCCCGTAACCCAGCGGGACCCCCTCCAGCTTCACCCCCTGGGGAGCTCTAACTTCGCCCGAGGGTGCTCCCGAGCACCCGGCTCGGTGCGTCCCGCCGGGTGACAAGGGCGGCCGCAAGCTTCCCCCGTCGGAACTCCTCAACATCTGCCCGTGATGTTCTCCATTTACCGGAGGGGGAGCGGGGCGAGGCCAGCGGGGCTCCCCGGTCGTCGTCGTCCCCCCCCTCTCCGCACCGGGCTCGTGAGGAGCCGGCCGCCTGTCAACGGCGGGCAGCGCCGCTCCTCGGGGCTCCCTCCCCGCCGGCGCCGCTGGCGGAGTCCCCTGGAAACTTTGCGGGGAGCCCGGGGAAGCGTCCCCCGCCTCGGGAGCGGCCGAATCGCGCTGCCCAGCGCCGGCAACTCCCGGGGGCTCCCCCGGCCGCCGCCGCCCTCACCCCCGCGACGGCCCGGCCTAAGCCCAACCGCCCCTTCCGCCGGCGCTGAGGGGAGCTCTGCCCGCTCGCTCTCCTCTCCCCCAGGACCCGGCGGAAAGCGGCCGGGCGGGAGGCGAAGGGAGGACAGCTCCGCTCCCCGCCCCGCTCCGTCCCTCAGCCCCCGCTGCCGGCGGGGCGCCGCCGCAGCCACCCCGGCCAGGCAACGCCGCGGGGCCCCACGGGGCGCCGGCAGCGGCTCGCCTCGCCCCCGGCGGCGGGTGAAGCACGGCCCCGGCGGCCCCGAGCGCGGCAGCGAGGGGCATCCTAGAAGGAATTGAAGCTGCGCTTTACCTTTAGTTCCGCACTGTCCGCCATCTTGCAACTCCAGGCGCAGGCGCAGTGAACCCCGCCGGGACACCGCCCCCCCGCCGCCCCCCCCGCCGGCACGCAGCGCGCAGCGTTTGAATCGGGGCGCCATTTTGTCCCCGCTCTGCGCTCCGCCGGGACGGGGGTCTCCGGCGGGGAAGGCTCGGCCGGGTTCCCCCCACAGGGCTGCGGGGAGCCGCGGCCCTTCGGCGGGGACGCTCCGAGGTCGCCTCCGGGGGGCAGCGCTTCGCTGCTGCCGCCCTGACGGGAAAGTTTCCCCCCTGAGAGCGCCGTCCCGCCTGCTCCGCTGGCCGCTCCGTGAGGGCAGCTACGCGCTGAGGGGGGAGCGGGCGGCGCTCCCGAGGCACGGCCGGTGGGGGGGCTCGAGCCCCTCAGCCGCGGGGCCGGGGCCCGCCTGGGATGGGGTCACCAGAGGGAGGAGGAGGAGGAGGAAGCGCGTTCCTGTAGCCATAAGTTGATTAAAATTGCAATTTGCGACTCCGCTTCCTGCGGCTTGATACGCTTTAAAGTGCGCCGGGAGTGGCACAGCGCGGGGGTCCCCTCGGCTCGGTGCCAGCCCCCCCCGCTCCGCTGAGGCCGGCGGTGGGTGCCGGGCCCTGGCCCGGCCGCTGAGCACCCCAGGACGGACTGGGCAGTGAGTTGCCCCGCTGTCGGTACCCGCGTGAGCCGGAGCACCAGGCGGGCAACGATCGGTTTTACCTCCCTGAGCCTACTGCAGAGGGAGTTGGGGAATCAACGTGAGGCTTCCCTCTTAGGAAAAGCAATGCAGGTGGCTTTAGGAAGGCCTACAGAAGAATGGAGCTTTTAGGTCAAAACTTCACCGTGTCATAGCATTTTTGAGTGATATGTGGATTCTTACAAGACCAGCCAATGCACAAGGGGGAACTATACACTAAAAATGCTACCTGGCAAGGTGACTGCATCAGTGATGAAGTTGATCGGTTTAAATACAAGCATTTGAGTCAGACACCTTAGCTTGATTCAGCTTCCTTTTACCTGTATGTTACTCTATAATGATACCTTCTCAACTTGGCCTTAGTGCATAGGGTGGAAAAAATCTCTTGAACGTGGCCAATATTGTACATCCTTTTAAGTGAAAAAGACAAAATTTCGTGGTTTTCCACAGCTGCTGTAAAGTTCATCATTGTACATTCAGAAAGCACTTCAATTATCTGCATTGCAAGACAAAACCAGCATTAATATCTCTATGCTACAGATTAAAGAAAGTGTGCTTGAGGCCACACAGGGAATCGGCGGTAAGAAGATTACCACTCATGATTATTACTGAATTATAATGTTCCCCATATGACCTGAATAGTTACCCGCAATTTAAAGTTAGCTGGTTTCTATTGAGAGAAGAATGCGATGGGGGTATCAAGTAGCTTTTTGCTGCCATTCTCCTTGTTGGTAAGGCTGTATATGAAGTTCTGATTCATGAACAACAGAAAATAACCTATATCTCTCCCCAGATACTTCATTTCAAAGCATTCCACCCATAAACATTCCCCAGCTTGGTCTCAAGACCGGATTAACAGAAAACCCAGGCGCATCTTTGGTCTCCTCGCTCTGGTACCTCTCTTTCTTCTCCCAGGTCATCCTGCATCCCATTTCTATTGTGGATACACCAAGTCTCCACTGTTCTCATCGATTTCTTTTACAGTTCTCAGGGTTCAGCATCAGCATATCAAATGAAGCATTCAGAAAATGAGCAATTAGAAGAGGCTGATAAGTAATACTCTGATACTTTGTCTTAATACTGCATGTAATGAAGACTTATCAGTGTCTAGAATGCTGGTTTGGGGAGGGGGCAGGGAGCTAGGCAAGATAGCTAAAAAAATAAGAGTCAGATGACTACCCAGTACACCCACATGTACCATAATTAGCTGATCTATTTCAGTGGTCTGAACCAGCCCAGTTTAGAACACTTCATTTTGAATTGAATATGGTTAATAATCATGATCTATGAGTTTGTGTCTCTTTAAAAGAATTTGTCAAAAAAATCTATAGTTGAATAAAGACAAATCCCTTTTTACAGTTACCTTTTTTTTCCCCCTTAAAGAGGCTTGCAGCACAGCAAACAGTTCTTCCTCTGCTTCTTCACTTCCTACCAAATTCAGTGGGATGTGGACATGTGCTTAAGTGCTTTGCTAAATCATGGCATAACACTATCAAACCTGACACATGGCCATAAACCACAGCGTCCTCTTTCAAAACTTGCTTTAAATAAAACAGGCTGAGGATGTCTTCAGATACATTAAAATAAGGAAGTGAACTAAAAGAGAGGATACAGAATATTCACTTGAAATTGGTTCACCCTAAATACTGTAAATGTTTTTACAAATAGAGCTAACAACAGGCCCTTTATTTTTCAGCTTGGACTGCTGCTAGTCACTTCTTTTTTAATGCAGTATATACTTTACCGTGAAGAAGGAACTTAATGTGAAAAGCAATCTGTGCTTCTATTTTTAGACAATTATTTACATGTAATGAAATTTTGTTCCTCTCTACTCCGGAGGCTTAGATGATGGTTTCTTTGCCAAGAAAAGACTTTGTCAACACACAGTCATTTTCAAAGGGGCTTTCAGTTGCTCCAGCTCTGCTGCAGCTCTGTCAGTGATGGCACCACTCAGATCTGTCACGATTCTGTCTTCGTTTCAAAAGGACATGCTCATCAAGTAATGCAACTGGGGTGTAACCAGAGCAGGTAAGAGCACCTCCAAAACAGTCTTCTTGTTGTCAGTCACCTCCATTCCCGAGCTAAAACTACAGTACTTTTTTCTTTTACCTTTGGGGGAGAGAGGGAAGAATAAAGATCAGTGTTTTCTTCAACCAAAATGTTGATATTTTCAATTCCCAGTTTTTAAAAGTTCATTTTCCCCTTTTTGCCATGTTACAGTAAAATAAATTACTTCCACAGTCCACCTTCCACCCCCATTTCTTCCATTTCTCCTATTCTGTAACCTTCCCCAAAATGTATCAGATCACATAATTCACTCGCTTAAAAACATGCTCAGACACAATAACACTTTTAAAACAGATATGCATTTTTTTCTACTACATGTTGTTCTCATTAGTCCGAGTCTCCAAGACTTCTCCCTCTTTGCCTAATAGTCTAAACTTACTGTGCTCAAATGTAAGGAGGGGGAAGGAGGCATTTTTGCTCCTGAATCTAACTTAGTTAACGATAGATTTGCAATGACCCTATTTCCTGATAGAAGAACATGGCCAAGCCATTCAAACTATCTCTTATTCCTGAGATTGTTGGAGGCATAAAGATCATTTAGATGTGTCACTGAAACAGCCTTTTCTGGTGGAAAAAAAAAGAAAAGAAGTCATTCAGGTACATTTTAGTGAAAATGGCTTGGCTATATGTGAAGAAAATGGAGCAGCAGTACATCAGATAAAGTCAATCCATTCTTCATGAGCAATACACGGCATTGCGCAATATGCTGCATGGTAAGTTCAGCAACTTTGAGCTGCTGGAACTTGGCTGGTACACACACCTCCCCCTAAATTCACATCCTCGTGCACTATTATAGTCAAGTATATTATATCCTATTATGTTGCCATAATCTCTCAAGTTGGGCCCAAAATAAGGGCTGCTACTCACTTAGAAAAGGAAGATTGACGGCATCTTGGCTGCATGTGGTGTTAAACTTTACAGAGGGGGAGTTAATCACCTGAAATCCTAAGTCAGGGAAATATGGGATCATTTTGTCGATGTCACGTCTTTATATCCTTAGATCTCCTGGTATAACAATGATATTGCAATATGGAAGGCATATGTAAATGGGTTACTATAATCTTTAATTACATATGCAGCGTTACGGTGTGACACATCCCAGCTTCATTTGCGTGTTTCCTGTTCTTTCAGTTCTTTCTTCTCAACTTGCCTTTCTGCTTACACTTTACAACACGCAGTACTCCAAGCCTACCGTGGCCATGGTACTGACCCTTCCCCATTGCAATGTTTGCGAATCTTTTAAAATTTAATTGCACTCCTTGATATTTGAACACCCTGTATATTGTGTTCCCTGCCTGGAATGAGGCATTCCAAGTCAAGCTCAGTTCTCCCATGTACTTCAGTGCTATACAAAGCATTGCAGCTGCAAGACAATAGTAATAGGCGCAACAATTAGCCCATTCTTTAACACTATTTGCTTAACCTTTTCTGCTGCAGCACCAATGGATGATATGTGCTTGCTCACAGCACTCTCCTAATGTTCTTAAGGTCTGTCCTTTGTAATTAAGCTATTCTTTATTTGGATCGAGGCAAATGAAGTATCAATTGTATCAAATGGAGACTACATTTTTAAGGTGAGGATGAACAGAAGGTCTTCCTGCCTGTTTTTACTGCCATGGCTGCCAACCGTGACGCACAGAGCCTACAGATCACAGCGACCTTTTCCATTCTGCCCAGTGCCTTTCATGTATTGCACCTTTATAGAGCAAGGAAAGTGCCTGGATTACCTCCAAAGCAGCCACAGAGGCACCATGGAAAGTGCCTTGTTTAGTTTTATACATAACAACAGCCACCTCAACAGCAAAACTCATGCTAAAGGAGTTTTATGTCATAGGGGGCTGCTTTCTCTACTGCATTGAGGCATACATGTTAAAGACAGCCCAAGCTAGGAAAGTATCAGCATCCTACTGGCCTTGCAGCATTTAGTTTAACTTACCTAAATTAAACTTGTGTAACTTTTACCTCAGGGAAACTACCACTGTTGCACAGATCTAGTTCGGTATGTACCACTGTTCACTTTTCTCTGAGCTTGTATTTGAATTATTCTATTTTTCTTTTAAAGTGAGATTTTTTCCCTTTGAGAAGAAATGGTCATTCCCGAGATATTCATCTGCACTTGTAAAAAAGCATTTCCTTTGGCTGAGCTGAATCCAGATTTTTTGTCAACAAAATTCCATTTTGCTGAATCACAATTGGAATTTTTTGCCATTAGCACCCATTTTCACAATGTGTGGACACAGCAGGAGAAGAAAGTAAAAAGCAGCTGCAACAGGCCATCACCAATCCATACACAGTTCTGTATCAAACCAAGTAACACCTGGAGTGTCAGATACTTCAGCTTGAAATTGGCCAAGAACTATTCAAACCTGAGGACAGAAAACCCAGAAAGCTGCATCTGTTTCCCAAACACCTTCAGCGAGGTGAGGCAGACTTTTAATTAAGCTGTACAGACTTGCAGCATCAGCAAAACCAGGTTTTAACTGTGACAAACTCCTTCATTCCAATTAAAAGTGATTTTATGCAAGACTGCAAAGTCCCAGTGCTTAAGTTACCTTCCACAGATACTAAATAATTTCTAATAAGCAAAGTTCTGTGGGAAAATGATAATAATCAAGGTGCTAAATTTTCCAGAACTTTGAGAGTAAATCCTTGTTCTGATGTTTCATGTTACTTCCCCCTTTCCTGCACTCACACAGTACATGTAAAATACTGACATTTTCATGTAATCCTCATTTATAACAATTTTCCATGGGGCATCAGTCACATAGAGTGGTCTAGAAAAAGACAAAGACCTGTTACAATTTGAGTCTCTTTCCTCTTTCCTGTCCTACAGCTTCCATTATGGATCACATAGAGAAGCAACATAGAAGGAAAGGAATAGATTATTACCTGTAGAAGTAATTAATGTAGGCAGTATAGGAGTAAATTATGCTTATCGCTGTTCTTTAGCTCTCATCTTGCCTGAAGTGGTTCGGAGTAGAGGTGGATAAAATGCTGAATGAAAAGGCGGTAGCTAGGCTGCACCTGCTGGCACAGAGACAGTATCTGGTATGAAGCACTCACATCTTTATTCTGTACCTAATCACTATTTCTAAAGAACCACTTTAGTCCTGGGAACATTGTAAATAAAGCTGAGTTCCAGTAGCAAGTGGAGTTCAGTTTAGATGGCTCATCTGAAAACAACAGAGCTAATTATACTGTAGCAATTACCTGAAAATTATATGTATGTTGTTTTTCTGCCTGTCAATACTGCTATTTTTGAACTTTGCATGGTTCTCATGGGTTGCTGCAGTAATGCTGTCCCCAGACGGCCTTCTGCTCTCACCATTAATTCAGCCTTGGGTTTGGGGAGAGTGGTTTAGAAGTTTCAGCTGCAGCATATGCTAGTTAGCTCACACCTTTCACACTCACCTGTGCTCTCCACCACAATATAGCCTCACCTGCACTGTGCTTGAGAAAATTCTTTCCTTTTAATAGTCTTTTGAGTATGGATTATGAGATTCTGACTCTGCAATAGGACTACTAAACCAGCATCAAATGAGGATTTACTCTTGCACATTAAGAGATACTTAAAATTCACCCTATCCCACTCAATAAGATCAATAAATGTCATAATTCTGATTTGGAGAGTTTTATTTCCTCAATACCAGCATGGCTATCACCTATTTTTCGTTGTTTCTTTTAAGAGCAACCAATAAAAGCACCTAAGATGGCAGGCAAGTGCCACGCAGGTGAGTGTTGCACCCCACTCCCAAGACGGGAATGCTGTCTAGCAACAAGAACAGGAGAATGGGAGTCAGGAATTTTTGGATCAGTTCCAAATAGACTCCTGCCATATTACCTGATTTTGACCAAGTCACGGGATAAAATATACTTGGAATGGCTCCTTTGTGAAACGGGGATGATGATAATAATAGCTATCTCCCTGGACTGTTAAGAGGAAAATAACATTTGGAAAGCACTTTGAGATTCTTGGATGAAAGGTAATGGAGCTGGAATGTTTGCAACATTAAAATAAGTTGGAATAATGTTATTATTTATTGCAGACAGTGCTTTCATCTTCAAAGCTCTTTAACATCAATGAATTAACAAAGAAAATATTAATAAAGATCATATTTCCCATTGAAACTATTTTCCCAAAGCATTTATAAATTGATCTACCTCCAGTTAAAAACTACTATTCAGAGAAAAACTAAGGACCAGCTCCAGTATCATGCACTAAATCCCTAGTGGTCCTGTCCATAGCAAACCTACTTTGAACTAGGAATTGTTAGTTTATACTAATGAGGATAATTGGACCCTAAGCCTAAGCCAGCAGCACTGACGTTACTGGGAGCGTTATCACCCACTACCAGGGATGGAAAAATCAAGGCAGCAAAGGAAGAAGGAAGAGCAGTGGTTAGAAAACACCTCTGCTTTCCCAGAGAGGCCATGCTAGGCTGTAGTGAGCTGGAGGTGGCGTTTCTCTCTGCAAGAGGATACTGTTTTTAAGCAGTTTGTTGTGTCTTTGGAATAAGCTACAGAGAACTGAGACACACACTGTGCCACCAGGAGAGGTATGCAGCAGCTCTTAGATATTTCTCAGGTAACTTATAGAATTCAGAGCATCCCAGACTAAGTTATCCAAAGGAATTGCACACTTCAAGTATATTCTTACTGGCACAGCCACGACTATCACATTATCACTGGGAAGCACAGCCCAGCAATTTACTGAAAACCAGTAAATGAGAGCGTCCTTTCCAAGCGCATTATCCGCATTGATTTTGAGCCACTGCTTAAAGAACAGCAAGGGACCTTTCCCTCTGTGTTTGCTTTACCAGCCACCTTCCCCACTGCAGTCTCTTCAGCTGCAGAGATAAATGAAACCAGAGAAAACCCATTCTGTTATTATTTCCCCCTACATACACCCCTTTTGTTTTGAATTCAACATGTTTTCATAGGTCTCCCCCACTACGGCAAACGCAGCGAGTCGCTGGCACTCTCTGCTCGTGGACTCGGATACATTCCAGAACATAATGGGCTACAATAGATTTTTCTTCCTTTGAATCTGTGGTGTACTTCATAGACTCTGGAGGTCATTTTAGGCAGCCCATCAATGTTCAATATCAATATTTCTGTTCAGTGTGTTCTCTGCACGCCCATCTGCAGTGTGCACTCGCCAGATGTGCGTGCCACAAAACCAAAGCATTCCTCTAGTTTCTCCAGACTTACTGTGAAAAAAAAAACAACAACCCAAACCCTCCACATTATCTGTGAAGTGTTTTGTAGCCCAGTCTTGTCAAGACTGGTGCTATTTCTTCAGAGCTGGCTGAAGGCTTTGCAAAGTTATTCACAGATTAAACTGTCCCGGTTAATCTGCTATACAATGACGCTCAGGCAGAGCTTCAAATATGTTTGGGTTTGGATAGAAATCAAATGTTACCTTTGGGAAATATGCTTATTAACATTAGACATAGCTTTTGGGTTACTTCCAATAACTTTGTTGAATTATAGGGAGTTTGTTATTGGGTTTTCTTTGTGCCCTGCATTTATGTGTCACGGTTGGCCAGACACTATTTTGTAGCATTTACTGTTCCTAGTGCTGCCGGTGCGATCAGGGAGATTTGCAGGCATTAATTATTCCACCTAACGCCTAGCACATGGCCAGGATCCAGTTAGGAGCATATCACCACTCTGATGTGGGTTTGTGAGGGTGGCACAGGTAGCATTTTGTAGGCTAGGAAAAAAAACATGGGAGCAGGAGACAGTGGTTCTATTAACAAATATGCCATAGCTGCAGAAAGCGTTTTACTGACAGGCAAGACTGACATCCAGACAAGCAGCCAAGGTCTTTTTCTCACCATGTGATCTTTTCATAATCCTCCATTTCTCTCCTAGATCAACAGGTTCCTCTTTATTTGTCATTGTCAGCTCTTAGCACAAAGAGCCTTTTGTCTGTAGCTCTGACCCAAACACACAAGACTATTTTTTGTCCATTCTTGGCCATATGCTTTCAAATGGACTAATGGGTTTCCAAGCTATAAAGCAGAACCTTGACCCTGCAAGGGGAGATGGTTGTGTGACAACATCTCTCTGTTTTGACATCATAATTTATCCCCGCTCCAGCACAACCCAGCAAAAACTCTTGAACCCAATCTGCTCCAGGGCTCGTGCTATGGATACCGATGCTGAAATCGCAGCGGCAGCAGCTTCTGACGCCAAGGCTCAGAGCAGGGAAGACCTGAGCCAGTCAATAGCTGCCTCTTTATGTCCTCTTCTAGCTCAGGATCAGTGGTGTGATGAAGCTATCACGCCTCCTTTGTAAGGCAGCACATGTTGCAGCAGCAATCACACTAGCCATAAAGCCCGGAGGATTCCTGCCAGAGCCCTGCCACAGTTTCCTTCTGCTCTGTTATTTTAGGTCCCATAACGGATGCATTGCTGCACCCGTAGATGTCACTTTGAAAGTGCATTACCAAGGGAGAAACAGACAAACAAGAGTTACTTATTTGCCCTGTTTTCTCAGATTGCTGGACTACATCACATTGCACTCAGCCTGCCTAATGAAGAAGGGTAGAAAAAGCGACTGATGGCTTGTATGAACCTTCCTAGTAATAGTCTGCATTTCCCACAGTACAAAAAGAGTTCATAGTTCATACCCTTTAACTGGCACTTGCTCTGGACCATCACAGAAACCCTTTTGTTTTCCAGTGGAAATAGCTCCAAAGCCAAATTCCTACCTGTCTCTTTCAGGGTGTGTCTTTGCCACATCACATCACATAACATGGGTTTGCTCAAGGTAAAACCTGGAGCTTCAAGGGTGGCTTCTTAAGAGACACAATGGGGGATGCTGAGGAGAAGGGGGAACCTGGCCCTGATTTTATTTTTCCTCATTTCACTTCTCTCAAAGATCTGTATTTGATGAACCTGTCTTTCAGAGACTGGTGCCTGTGTCTATGTGTGACCCCTTTCATTTGGCAGCCCCTTTCCCATGTGTTTAACAGAGCTTGTGGGATTCCATCATTTGCTGGTGCTCCAGATGAGGGAGGAGAAGGAAAAGAACTTCTTATCTCCCCATTCAGCCCTTATCTGAGCCTGCCAGCTGGGTCATGCTGGGGTGGTGGCAAGGGGGAGGACAGACAACACCTATGGGGAGATGAGCACAAGGCTTGTCTACGCATAAGGGAAGGGGGAAACCTGCACACCCCAAAGCACCACTGATGTTTATAGCTGCTCCAGACCCAGGTTTGAGGAGGAAAAAGAGCAGCACTATGTGGCCTAGAACTGCCATCACCTGCACAGCCAACACCAACAAGTCCTGCAAGTGCAAGAGCCCACCAACATGTTCTTAAACGAAGCATCAGCACGTACTGAAACCAACCCAAGGCACTTTGTTTGCTGGAGTACAGCCTCAGGGGGTCAAGCCCAAGACAAACAGCATTATACCATGGCTGTCTGACAGGCTGGGAAGCAACAAAGACCAGCCTGTGCTCAGCCATCCTCAGAAGGGCAGAACAGAGGTTTGCATCAGCAGGGCAATCTCTCCAAAGCCCTGGGTGGGAATTTTCCCTTCCCAATACCACTAATCGACCTGAACACACAGCTCCAGCTCCCTCCAAAACCTGGCTTCAACGCTGTGATGCGCGTTACTTTGGGTTACCCAAGATAGAGCCACCGTCTCCCGGTTACACAAACAGATCTTCAGGGATTTGCAGAGCATTTAAACCAAAACCTCAATCAGAAATGTGATGACAGAATTCCTCTGTTACATGCAAGTGAACACCAAAGCTTTTAATTTAGCTAAAAGATCTCTCTGCGAAGAGAGCGGCGTACAGTTTGTTCAGGACTAGTTGACAGATGGGAAAATGAAGTCCTCCCTTATTGTTCCATTTGCTGGATGCAAACGAAATACTTCACACCTACAGAGGGCTTGGAGAACGGGAAGAGCTACAGAAATATCAGCTCTCCAGACAAAAGTGTCCGGGTCTGATCCTGGAAGATGCTGCACGCTTTCAGCTAGTCCGGAAATCAGCCTTTTCCTTAGCATTCCTCAGTGATTTTCCTGTGGTAAAGCAAAGGAATAAACGGGTGAATTTAGTATTAGACCTAAAAAATCAGTTACACAAGATCCTTTCAGTCTGACGTCTCCACCCTGCAAACTCTTTCAAAACAGTAAGTTCTCTTTTTTCAGTTGAAATTTCCTTGTTTTTTTTAAAAGCTGGAAGCCTTTCACTGCAAGGGCTTTCTTTTCTCTACTAATAGAAATAGGCTATTAATACTATTTTGCCCTTTTTCATTGAAGTTATTGTGCAGTTTTCTTCCATCTGGGAGCCAAAACTGTACCAAGAACTAGCTGGCACCTCTTAGCCAAATTGCTCAGAGAGGACCAAGCAGTTGGCCCCGCGCTCACATCTGGGCGCTCTCAAACAATGAATAATGAATTAATGGGACATTATGGAGCAGACTGGAGGCCAAATTCAGTTCTGGGAAGCGCAGTTATTACAGAGCTGCCGCACCAGCCATGCTCCCATATGCCAACCAAGGCCAGGGCTTGAGCTGACATAGAAATCGACTGTGTAAAAGGCCAATAGGGATTAAGTAAATACACTAAGACAGAGAGCACACAGCCCACAGGAATATCCGATTTCTTCTTCCACGCAGCAGCAGCACAGCATTGCCTCTCAGTTTAAAGCCCTGGGTCTGGTTTGAGGTGCTGAGCTGTGGACTGCCCCTGTTGAGGACACCATGTACCACAACATGCAGGAGTAAACTGTTGGGGTTTAATTGGAGCCTGTTCCTCTTTATCAGCTGGAGGAGCAACAGAGCCTTCTCTGGTTGCAGATTCTGCTTTGATTACAAGCCTGATAACAGCAGCTTCACAGAGGGATAGGAAAAGCCGCATTCCCAACACCCAAGACCTTTCCTGTGGAGCACTGCAAACCCATCTCCCATGTGGAAGATTCCAGGGATGGTGAAAGGCTGGAGCCTACAGCCAGGCACCTGCCTACTTATTCCCTTGCAGAGGTCCTCAGGCATTTGCAATTCTTTTGGGGCATCCCTTTGCTGAAGTGATGGTCCTAGGAAGACAACCGAGTACTTTGTTGTTAGCCAGGATGCTGATTTACCACTGTTCCCTTGGGACGCACCTCAGGACCACAGCTTGCTTGCCTGGCTTCCAAGAAGAGCCTCACTGAAAGCAAGAGTCACTTGAGCCAAGCTTGACCCTCAGTCCCCTTTGCTCCCTGTCCTGAGTTACCAGGCACTTGCAGATGTCTTTAGGAAAAAAACCCGTTTGCACCTTTAGCCTTTTTCACTGCTCTTTCTAATACTTCTTTGCCTGTGGACATTTCTGAGGGCAAAAGGAATCCCAGTGTGTAAATCAAGTCCATTGTTTCCACTGAACTGTACTACGGGACTTCAGAACATGGTTGTGATTTGCCACATCTGTTATTTTTATGCATTGTTTTCGTGCCAAGAGCTTTATAAAAGGTGTTATACAACCACATCGTATCACATAATCCAGCATGTTTCCACAATCAGGAGCCCACGTGAGCCTTTAAGCAACAGTCTCACCAAGTGTTTCTATACATCTTGTAGCCCAGCCAGGCTGAGATAGAAAGATGAGCTATGGCTGGGGTTTCCTCCTTTCTCCTGCAGACTCCACTGTTTGCTGATGGCCACGTTCATCTGTGATCCACGATGGGTCACTCTGCATTTGCATTGGGAAAACAAACATATCGCTTGAAGCCTGTGCACTGTGTAACTGAGCAAGCAGAGGTTTATCCCCTGGTTGCATATTACAGGATCATCTCTTGTCAAGACTCTAATGGGTTCGTTGCTTTCCAAATATTGATAGATGAGCATTTATCACATGAAAAGTAAAATAAATTTGCACTGAAAGCTATGGATGGACAGTTGGATCGAAGGCTGGGAAAACAAGAGCGGAAAGCTATTTAAATGAAGACCCACATTCTTCCCTGTCAACTGCCTGATCTTTAAGGTCTCTTCCAACCCAAACTATTTTATGATTCTAAGTAACAAACAAGGAGGGATCCTAGGGAACCACAGCATCTTCTGCAAAGACCACTTGTGGAGCACTTTTGGAGCACCTCAAAGAGGTTTGCAGGCATGGGGTGCCATCCAGGCAGGCAGGATTCGGTACAGAGCCTGCTGCCCCTCTGGGTGCTCACTCAGCAAGGCAGCCTCAGCTCCATTGCCCCTTTTCCTCACCACCTTCCCCTGTGATGAATAACAGTAACCAATGGTTCACCATGAAAGCAAGCCAGAAACATCTGCAAGTCTGAAGAGATGATGCTATTTCTGGAAGAACCCTCCAAAGGAGACTCTTCCACCTGCGAGCAGGGACCAGGAGTTTGGATCTGATGGAGCTCTGCTGTGGGAAGGACGGGTTTATTGGGACACACTCCATAGTTCTGCTATAGGTGAGGCACTGAGAGCTTTGGAAATTTCCAGCCTGGCATTGCTCTAAGTGAAAAGCTCCATCTTGCTCTCCTGGGTCAGATATCCTGCATGCAGTTCCTAATTTGGACCACAGCTCTGGAAAACTTGATTAGAGCTGTGAAAACAGAATTTTTATTAGGGAGAACTGAGCCCTTGCCAAGGGTTATTTTTCAAGGGAGCAGGACCTAATCCTAGAAGTAGTTCCAGGGCTGTGCTATTCTGGATGCCCTTGCAATGGTTTATGGCAGCTATGCAGCCAAACCTGGACTGACTGGTAATGTTTGCTTTGGACAAGTTGCTGCAGATGGCAACCAACTGCAGATGTACTTCTCAACTTGGTGCAGGCATCACTGAAAATACGGCTTCTCTTTTTCTGCCCCTCACTTTTCAGTTTCATTTTTACACAATGAATATGTGTATGTATGTTCCCAAATACACACCACCAAAAAACAGCCAAGCATTTAAACGCACGCAGAGAATAAAGTAACATACCTGCGCTCGGACAGAAGCCTGTTAAATGTAATCACCAGACAGACAAATCTCTTTGCCAGCTTTCAAAGCTAAAACTCCTGAAGAATCCAATATAGCCCCCTTCTTTAGGTGGGTGTTTCCCAGGGAACAGCACATCACTTTCCTCAAGGGAGCCCACAAAGTCTGTGGCGTGGAGTGACCCTCTGGAGGGAGCTTTACATCCATACAGCAAGCAGTAACTGGACTGAACTGAGCCATAAATCCAGGAATGCATGGGAAAAGAGCAAATTAAAACGTGCTATACTTGGCAGGTTCCTTTGCGAGCACAGTGCTTGTGAAAGGTGACATTAACAGCCCCAGCAGCTGAAGGCTGCTCTTTCTTCCACAGCTGGGGTAGCACAAGCAAGAGCAGCAAAAGCTTCCCGAAACAGTGCTCCCATCCTCTCCCAAAAGGGGCTTTGCATTGGGTGAGAGAGCTTCTGCAGCATCTCCTGCCTGGCACAGCCACACAGAGCTCACCGCTGGCAACTCAGGATGTGTTTGGGATGAGGAAGCCACCACCAAGGATGCCCGGGATGGGGCAAACGGGCCTTGGGGACTCCGAGACCGCCCATAGGACACTTTGGCTGGCAATGAGCAGAATGGGACCAATACTCTTGCAGCTCTACATGCAAGGACCGTGCAACACACCGTGCCCACTGCTCCCTTCCTACCCCACCAGTTAATTTAGTTGCAACAGAAGAGAAGTGTCTCTGGGCAGCCAGACTGCCACAGTTCCCAAGAACCCATCACCCCATCCCTGCCTCTTACACAGGATGCACTGGAAAACATCCCTTCTCCAGCACAGGCACCAGTCCTCCTGCCCACCCCCTCCCCAGTTAACCCCCCCACACACATTTAGCAGCTTAA